GCCAGGAGTAGTTTCCTGTGTTGAGAGGTGCTCAAGCAGCAGATAGGTAAGGACTTTAAGATTCAAGAGAGAAGCAGTTGGTTGGGCTGTAAGGTCTCATCAACCCTGAGTGTCTATATCAAAAGGAATTCTGAAAAATAAAGTGGAGGCAGTATTGAACTTTAATATCTCCAGCCAGCATTCTTTTTCCCAAGGTTTTCTTGCTTTCCAATTTTATATGTAATTGATACCACTTGGAATTGATTATAGTGCAATTCTTTTTTCTGGTATCAGCTTTGTGACAATGTCTCATGAAAAAGTAAAAATGCTGTCAGAACATCACAATCATAGGATAACTTAATAAGTAAGATAAAATGATTTTATTTATTAAAATATATGCTGCCTTAAAATGCAGTTAATTCTTAGGTATTTTTTTAAATCATCATGTAGGTAAGTGTGTCAGTGATATCTGGTAAAATTGTACATTGAAGAAAAAGATGTGAGCAGAAAGTCGTTTAAAAAATATGCATATAATGAAAGATGCTTTAAGTCAAGGAATGTAAATTACTAAGTAATATTTTCTAAAAGTACCATGCCAAGCACTAAAAAAGGCAACACACAGATACTCAGTTTTGTTAAAAATACTGTTTTATGTTGAAATGCTTATACTCAAGTATTACTTTTATAGCATTAATAATTCCATCTGCCTACTGTCTTTGTCTTTGTACAGAGTTCATGCATAAATGGAAAATATGCATCCTACCTACCGCTCTAACAGACAGAGCTATCTAAAAAGGTTCACCTAGAAAACTATCACTTCCTCCTCATCCCTAGTTGTTCTAGGAAGTGAATGCTGCCTTTCCTGAATGTGTCCTATCGGAAGCTGAATAACCAGTCCCAGCAGCAGGAACACACACTCCGAAGGGTGCGGCTGGTGATAACTTCAGCCACATGCTTGCATCTTGGCTATGTGATCTCTGCAAACATGCTGGACATGGGCCTCAAGCTGGCAAATGAGGAGGCCCTGCAAATGCACAAGGAATCACTCATGTCTGCACCAACGGTAACAGGGGAGAAGCTGGAAGAGGAGACAAGCTTGTTTCATTTGAGCCTGCAAGTCCTGCTTTAGCTATTTGTCAGGTGCCAGACCTAGACCTGGTGCCTGACAACTAGCATTTAATATGTTTCAAACAAGGTGTTGTCGTGTTACGTTTTGGAAATAATTTACCTTTGGAATAAATTTGGCTGGTATAGTTGGGGAGTACCCTTAAGGATTACTGACTTGAGAAGCAGAAAAAAATTAAACTAAGTGAGAAAAAGCAAAATGCAAAACATATCTCTAGTGTGCTGTTTCATGAAAGAAAGAAGAAGGATATGAGAAAATACACATGTATCTATTTATTGGTGCAAAAGAAACACAGGAAGGATAAACCAGAAACTAAGGCAACTGGTTACCTATGGGAGGGGGTGTGAAATGGGACTGAAGTCGAAGGGATGAGAAGGGAGTGACACCTCTGAGTGCACCCTTCTGTGCAGCTCTGACTCTTGAACCACAGTAACTTTTCTCATACCCTTGAAATACCCACAAATCAACAAACAAAGCCAACTAGATGTGAGGGAACCCTAATCAATGGTAACAAACGGACTTAGTCTTCTTGAAAATGGATAACAACCATAATAAAGGAGGTGAAGAAAAAATTGCGCTAATCTTAGTAGCTTTAGTCAATGGTATCTTGACTGGATATTATAAAGCTGAAGACCAAAGAATTATATATAAGTGCTATAATCCAATTAGTAAATGTGCTTCTCACAGGTTAATGGTGATAAACAGCAATTTTGAAACAGCTTTTTACTAGAATTGAACAAAGAAGTAAACCTATTATAGATAATGATATCTGGCCTTCTCACTGTTGGAGAAGGAAACTACAAATAAAGAGGAAGGCAGAATGAATCCTGTGCTATTAGACTGGAATCAGAGTTGTGGGTGGAAGCTCACACACACACACACACACACACACACACACACACACACACAGATGTGTGTGGATGACTGGGTTAGTATACATATTTGTAATTCCCAGCTCTGTCTGCTGAGTGAGCCTAGAAACAACATTCCAGTAGCAATGAGCCTGCCTGGATATTGGTTTCTAAATCCTGCTCTCCAGTAGAAGGAGCTAGAGCTCCACGGGGAAGTGGTTAATTCTAGGGGGGCGGGGGAGGGAAAATAAATGAGCCTGGATCATTCCGCCATGCTAGAAAGAGACAAGTGCTCCAAACAAATGGGGCTTATTGAAAGCACACGGGCCAAGCTAGAAGAGTTTTAGTGGACAATGCTGGAACAATTGGCACAACAAAATTAAGAATGATAATATTGGATTCTAACTCAAAGAATAAAGTAAATATTTATGAGTCTATATTGAAATATTTAAACAATCTAATAAATAAATAAGAGGGGGAGAAGGGACAGCTCTTCCTTGCAAAGGAATTCCAATTAATAAATAGAGAAGAAAAGAGCAAAATAACAAATCACCATAACTGCTGTAGTCACTCTCCACTGATGGATACTAATTTACACTAGTGGGTATAAATTTGAGGAGACACAGGATGTTTGCATGATCTCAAAGAATCTTTCCACAAGATATTTATTAATCACAGAGTGAAAAGTAGTAATTCTATAGTGAGAAAGCCTGCAGATACCAGCTCCACCATGTGATCAATGTTAACATCCCAGGAGGAAGTCATATTAATTTAATACTGTGAATCCTTGGCTATGATGCAGCTTGGGAGAGAGAAGAGAATTTCTGTGGGATCCCTGCTCAACAGGAATAACCATGCTCTAAAATCATGAGGAAACATCAAATGAACCCACACTGAGAGACAGTCTAAGGAAGAGGTGACAGGAATTCTTTACACATATCCAGGACATGAAAGCAAAGAAAGGCTGAGGAACTCTTAAAGGTTGGAGGACATGGAGGAAACATGGAAAAGGGCCTTAGTGAAAAAACAGGTGAAATTCAAACAGGGTCTGTATTTGAGTGAATACATTAAACCAATGTTAACGTCTTGTTTCTGAATAAATATAGTACACCATATAAAATGTTAATTGAACATCATTTAGCATCATGTAAGATGATAACTAGGTGAGGGATTTATGGGAACTCTGTACTATTTCTGAATCTTTTCTGTAAGACTCAAGTTAGTTCAAAATTAAAAGTGAAGAAAAGAAGCTAATGAAGAAAATTTAGTTTACTGGAATCATTTGTGTGTACATAAAGTATGTACTGGAATAGTGAAATAAAATAACCAGTGCTACTGTTTATCTAAGAAGAGACTCTTCAAAAGATATCCTCACTATGATAATTATAGTACATTAGTTCTGATGAGCATAGGTCAAGTGGTAATATTTAGACTGCATTCTAAAGCTCCAAAACTAAAGTTAGGCTCGTTTGTTCATAGACATAATAAACTGTATTTCTCCCCCTCTTTGGGGATTTTGGGAGGTCTCCTTGAGGGAGGCACACTGGAGGTGAATGCCAAGTCTGAGCAGGACTCAGCCAGGTGCAGATTGGGCAGGGGCATTACAGCAGTGTGCTGCAGGTGTGAGGACCCTGAGATGGAAAGTGGTGGGCATGTTCTAGGAATGGCTGAAAGGCCAGGACGGTGGAATTTAGTGGTGTGAGGCGAGGCTGGAGGGACAGGCAGGAGTGGGCCACAGAAGATCTCGGAGGAGAGAGAATTTAGAATGAACTCGGAGCAGTGAAAGTCTCTGATGCGCTTGAGGAGAGGATGATACACGACCTTGGGAAGACATCTCCCACTCTTTCTTACTGGCTTTGAATGCCTATTTATATAATGCTGACCACGGTTCTTTATCTTTGCTGAGGAATAAGATACAGGAATGGGCCAAGAGCGCAGAGTTTGATCACCCACAGGGACAGACTTCCTTTTAAAGCCTCTATCTCTGGAGAGTTTATAGAGAGTGAATGTGAGAGTGTGTGTCATGCCTGCTTTGAGGGAGCATCAAAGATGGGCTGCATGCCATTAAAAGCTTACCTGAAATAAAATATCACTATTTTCCTAAAATGTTGTTGCTATGTTGAATGTTTTTCTTTCTCTTTGTACGTTTGGTATTGATCAAAACACTAAGTTGTACAGCTTTGAATTTTTCTGCTACAAATTCAAACACAGCGTTCACCTATCCAGGAGTGGCAAAGAGGCAGTACAACTCTTAAAAGCCCACACTGCTCAGCAGATACTGTGGCTGATTCATCGCTCTTTCTTAAGAGGCAGATATGGTACTCAGGTGACCACGTATACATTCCAACCAAGTTTTCCAGCAGTCTTTAGGGGGCAGAGAGTCCCAGAAGGGACGGAAATGCTTTAAAAAGAGCTAAGGAAGTACTTTGGTCTCATGAATCAGAGAAGGGTTCTTCTTCAAATTTTGCTTTGAAACCAAGAATATTACCACCTTTTAATGTCTGCCTTCTAAGTCGATTAAGGAGCAAGTTTTACTTATCTGTTTGATTAAAAATAGAGACAAGCAAATTTATATCTGGTAGCTTAAGTCTCAATATTTGCATAACTCAGGAATAGTAGTTTCTGATGCAGTTACAGTAGAAGAGAATATAACTAAAATTTGTGGCAAATTTAGGATTGAAAACTTTGTTGTTCAAAAATGTCCCCAAATCTATATGCACCCTTTTCTCAGCTTTGTAACTACAACGAACTTGACTTTTTCTTTAACTAGTACTTCTGTGAACATTTTGCATTCACTGCTGTGCAGTTCTGGGTTAGAAGGCACAGAAGCTCAATCCAAGGCTACAAAGTAAGGTATTCTGGGAAGTTTTGTTGTTTTAATAAAAAAAAAAAAGGATTTCAGATATATCTTGCTTAAAAAAAATTTTTTTTTCTCCTCATAAACCAGAAAAGCAGAAGAAGAAAAAAAGGAATCAGCTTAATGAATCATTCTGGTTCACTGGATTCCAGTTGGTAGAGTTTAAACTGAGGAAAAAAACCCAAAAACTTTAGTTCCTTCTGTCATGAATCAGTTAAAAGTTTTGTTATTTTCAAACAAAGAGCACATTCCTGCACAAGGTCGGAACTGCGAAGTCAAAAATGACGTGACCAGGAGTGGCGATCTTACTTTAGAAATGCTGCCTCTTTCTAGATGCCGTCCCTTGAGAGGACTTCTGGGGAGACTGGTTTTTTAAAACTCTCACGTCCCCTCGCCCCTCCAGCCCGGGGGCAGCTCCTCGTTGAAGGGCTACAGCTCCGAGCGGCCGAGGCGCGCACACGGACGGGGCTTCTCCGCGCGGCGGCGGCGAGGTTGGCGGGAGCCCGCGACCTGTCGGCCAGGCTGACGCGCACGGTCGCTGCAGCCGACCGCGTTACCAGGTGTGGCTGCCGCTCAGAGCAAGCACCCGACTGCAGTCCCGTACTGGCAAGTGCGACACGAGGAGCCCTGCGAACCTGACCCAGCCCCGGGCGCGCGAGGGGCGGCGGTAAGTTTCTCCCCAGGGGCCCCGCGGAGACCCCGCGCCCTCCGCTCCGCGCGTCCGAAAGCGAAACCCGGTGGGCGCGCGGGCCGGAGCCGGGAGGGTGGGCCCGTCGGCGGGAATGCGAGGCTCCCTCCGCGCCCGCAGCAGGAGACACCTACCTGCGCGTCCCGACGGCGCGGCCGCGAGCAGCCCTAGCAGCAGCGGCAGGGCCGGGAGGCCGCGAGCCGGGGCCCCTCTGGCCGCCGCCCTCCCTGGAGGTCGGGGAGCCCACATGCGCGGCGCGGCCCGGTCACATCTCAGCCCGCGGCGCAGCCTCCCGGGGGCGCCTGCGGCCCGCAGCTCGCGCTGCGCGCGACGCTCCTGGAGGCCCGGCGCCCGGGAGGCGGTGCCCTGCCCGCGCCCCACCCGCGCCTCGCCGGAGTCCAGCTGGAAGCCCAGCGGGGCAGGCCGCCCGCGACTCTAGTCCCCAGCCCCTCCGGCTTTCGGTTCTGCGCGTCCGTGCGCGCTTCCAGGACCACAGCCAGCGGGGGTCACCTGTGCAGGTGACATTCCACGAGAGCGCGGCCAGCGCATTGAAAAGTGGTGCTGGTTTTCAGGTTTGATGCCTCTTCTCTAAAACTTTTGAAATGCCAAATCTCAGTCCCAGAAGAAGAATGAAATGGATGTTTATTTCTCAACATACTGCCAGGTTCTCTGCCATACGTTGTATTTGATTTCACTTAGTCCTCACTCCCTGCAATTATTGTTCCATTTTACATATGAAGAAAGGGAAACTAAAAGTTGAGATATCAGCCTGAATGAAGTCCCCGAGCCTGTGAGGTGTGGTGTGTGGTTTTCCACTCAGGCCTGATTCGAATTCCACTGCTCCTCATAATGGGATGTAGGGTTTAAAATTAAGAAATATATGAAAAAAACAGCGAGCCAGTCTCAGTTCTTGTGAGAGAGTTATAAAGGTTGGGCACAGCCCGAGAATAGAGAAATAAACGATTTATCTCAGAGGTGTTCCCCCATTCTCTCACAAATACCTATTTTCAAGCATACAAGAGAAAATGACCTTAAGATTAGATCAACTATCTTTATCCTAGAAAAGAGAATCTAAAGTGATGGGGGAAAAAAAGAGTCTTTTTGGTAGAAAGGAGAGGTTGGGTAGGATTTTCAGAGCCCCCCCAAATATACGATTTCCTCCAGCCCAGGAAGACGTCGAGGGAACAGAGGATGCGGCCAGGCCAGGTAGGTTGTCCCTCCGGCTGGGGCTTGGCCTCGTGATGCAGGCGGCACCGCGGACTCCCCAGTCACATTTTTGCTTCTCAGCGGGGTCCTTTAGGTTCTGCCAGCAGGGGTGCGGGAGGAATACTGAATGCGGGAGGAGGAGCGGAGAGACTTTCTGCTTCCTATTTCTTTGCTGTTCTTGTCAGCAAGGCCCCCCAGTGTTTCTACCGCGGTGAAAGCAGTGGGTTTTCTGTCTAGTTTCCTGCTTCTTTCCCTACTCCCAGAATCAGCCCCACTGCAACCCCCACAGATACCAGTACTGGGCTGGCCTTGCCTCCATTCTCAGAGGCCTGCCTTCCCGTGTCCTGGGTTCCTCGATCAGGATGTAACCCTACATCCTCCCTCGGTCCTTTCAGTCCTTGGGCTGGTATTGCTTCCTGTAAGTACTTTCTCTGTCTTAGTTCTCCAACATGTATTTAACCAATCCCCCCTAGCAAATTCTTCCTGTGAAAATCACTAGCATGGTTCTGTGTTCCCGGCTGAACTGATTCAGTTAAGAGTGTAGGAAGGACTCTTAGGAAGAGATCTATGTTATCCGTACATCCTAAGCATCTTCTTGAGTTGCTGTTGTTCTTACTGTAAACTGTATTAGTTAACTCCATCTCTATCATTTTAAGTCTAGTGGGTTAAACGTGATACGTATTTGCCACAAAGGTATTTTGGCCCAATCCTTTTTTGGTGTCTAAAACTTTAGGACTTGAATGCGTTTCTGTTCAAATATGAATCATTCAAGGCCCAAAAGGGTCTAAAGTAGACTGCACTTGGCCCTCCCTCCCTCTCTCTCCCTAATCTTTAACGTGAGCACTAACAGTTTATTGTTTCCACCCTCTAGGAAATGGAAATGAGAAGGAGCCCTTACCTCTAGTAAGTGGGCTACCCCTTGTTTGTGAGCCAATAGTGTTCTCTGTGTCCCTCCTTCCCCTCCCCCTTCCTCCTCAGCTTCCACTTTGCATGTCAGACAGCAAGTCAGAATTACACTGGACAGCAAACTGACCGCTCTGTCCCCAGGATGCCTGTGGTTTTGTGGGATGAGTGGGACATGAGAAATTGCTAGGTGTTCAGTTGATGTTGCCTATGCATTAAATTAAAGAATGCAGTCATTACTTTTCTTTTCGTTTTTACCTGTGACCTAGAACTCACCTTAGGGAGTTTCCTTAATACCTTTAAATTCTACCCTCTTAACCTGTAAACTTCAGTCTGAGTCCCTCCCAGTGTAAATCTTCCCAGTCAAAATAAATCCTATTATCTCCTTCAGAGGAGTTTTGAAATGACTCACATTCAAATAGAGATTTTCCTCTATTCATAAAGACTGCAACTCTTGCCATGATTTAATACCCTGAGATCTAAATTTTGCGGAGCCTGATGTATGGATTTTTGGGCTGTGTTATCAGAAAAGCCATAAACCAATACATCCTACCCCCAATCCCAGTGCTAATACGCAAACAAAAAATACAAGCTCTTCCTATTCCAGTATAACTTAAAAAAGTTCCAGAGGTAATGTGTCATCATCATTAGTATTATCACCCCGAGATGAAGCCTTTAAGCAGATACATATACACACATACACACACACATATATATACACACATTGTCAACAACATATAAAGTTACTGAATTCTTACTCTGCGCCAGGCACACTGCTAAGCATTTTGCATTTACTACTTCCATAGGTCCTTAAACAATTATTTGAGTTAGTCACGTTACCCTGAGTTACAAAACAAGGAAACATTCTTGGACAGGTCGTTTCCTTAATATGCAACAGAACTGGTATCTGAATCCTGGTCAATCTAATTCCAAAGTCTGTGTTTAATGACTTACATGTTTCTTACATATAGGAAAATAAAGCAAATAGATTTGCGGGGTGAACTGTGAAATAACACACATACTAAGACGCACTTACTGATTTCTGAGAAATGCAGCATTGGTGTGATTTCCATATCGTAAACTACCCTGTGAATGGGAACAGATGCCCATTCCTGGGCACTCAAGTACAGGCAGGGGCAGGTTCAGAATGCAGTATTGTGAGTGCTTCAAAAATAAACCTGAAGATTAGGGGACAAGTGGTAGTTAAAGGAAAAGGATTGGCAAGGTAAATTCTCTGAAAAGGATTGGGGGTGGGGCAAATTCGAGAAAAGGAAAGAGTCCTGGGAAGATGATAAGGCTTCAATACTTAGGAGAGTTCTAAAATTTTATCAGTCCATTCTGCCATTCTTTGTGGATATTTGCGGGCTATTAACAATGTTTATGTTATGCTGTCTGCTTAAATCCAAATAATATCTGATATTTAAAATGCTATAGAATCTTATGTCATCAAGTCTTCCTCCAACTCTTTTCAATTTTCTTGAGAAGTTCATGCACTTAAAAAAATTTTTAATTGTCAAGTATAATACACTTACAGAAAAATGCACCAAGGTAGATGTTACAGCCCAACGAGTTATCACAAAGTAAAAGCATTGGTTAGCACCACTGAAGTCAAGACATAGAACAAGGCTTACCCTACAGAAACCCCTTTCTACCCCTTCGCCATTCCCCCAAACCTTTGGGTGTATATTCTACTGTATCTGGCTTCTCTAACACAATATAATGCTATGAGAGTCATCCATGTTGTTGCCTGTAGCTGTAGTGCACACTGCAAAGTTACCCATTATATGACAGTGCCACAGTTTAATTATCCATTCTGGTTTTGATGACATTGGATTGTTTCTGGTTTGGAGCTGTTAGCAATAGCACTGCTCTAAACATTCTTTGTATGTGCCTCTTGCTTAGGTGCACATATTTCTGCCACATACATCCCCCAAAGTATAATTGCTGGATAAGACAGACAGGCATAATTTCAATGTAAGTAAAAAATGCCAAACCTGTTTTCCAAAGTAGTTGCAGCAATTTACCCTCCCATCATCAGCTGTAATGAAAATTCTTCTTCCACATTTTTGACAACACTTGGTATTTTCAAGCTTCATAATTTTAGCCACTTTAGAGGCTCTGTAAGTGGTATCTCACTGTGGTTTTCATTTGCATTTTCTGATTACTAATGATATTGAGAACTTATAAGTTTATTGCACTTGGGTATACCCTTGTGTCATGGGTTTGCTCAAATTTATTGTCTATTTTTGCTATTAGATTGTCTTATTTTATTTTTAATTTATTTGAAGGAATTTGTTACATATGCTGAAGATGAAGCCTTTAAGCAGATACATATACACACATACACACACACATATATATAGCAAATATTTTCCCCCTTGTTCTTATGGCTTGCCTTTCTACTGTCTTAATAGGGTGATTAAAGAGATTCTTAAATGTAATATGGTCTAATTTACCAACTATTTCTTTTATAGTTAATATTTAAAAAATGTTATCCTACCCTAAAGTCATGAAGATATTAATCTAAGTTATCTTTTAAAAGCTTTATTGTTTTATTTTCTCAGATTTCAAATTATGATCCACCTGGAATTGATTTTTATATATGATATAAAGTAGGAGTTCAAGTTTTACTTTGTATATGAGTCCAAATGACCTGGCACTATTTACTGAAAAAGCATCCTTTCCCTCTTCAGTTCTGTCTTCTTCATAAACTAAATGCCATTCATGAATGGGTCTGTTCATAGACTATACTCTCTCTCACTGGTCTTTCTATTATTATGCAATACCACTGGTTTAATTACTTTTTGCTGAAAGAACAAGTCTACTTTGCTCTTATTTGAGTATCTTGACTTTTTAAAAAACACATTGTATTTCCATTTAAATTTTAAAATCACTTGCCAATTCCCACAGAAAATTGGTTGAGGCTTTTTAAAAAAAGTTTTTAAGTCATACATAAAATAAGGTGTCTAAAGCACACTGATCGCAAGCTTTTCATATATACCCAACCATGTTACCAACCTCAGATCGAAATACAGACTGTTTCCAGCACTCCAGAAGATTCCCTCATGTCCCTTCTCATACCCCTAGCATAGGAAAACACTGTTTTGACTGCCATTACTATTTGATTACTTTTGACTCTTCTTGATCTTCCTATTAACAGAACTTCACAGAGTATATTCTTTTGTACCTATATTTTTTATTCAACATAATGTCTTTGTGGTTCATTTATGTTGTTATGTTACCAGTA